ATTATTATATATATATGAATAAATAGATACAGTAATTAATATTTAATATATATTCGTATATATATATATACAGAAACTCAGGCATATACGCACAGATATATTCAGACACACGTACACAGCTGACAGATGAGACTATATATATATATGAAGATGCGCGAATGTGAGCGTAATGCAGTAAGGTGGTAACCATGTACTCCAGATTCGATGAATTGGATCGGATCTTGGGTGGCCTGATCGATCAACTCAAGTTTGGGCTCGATGTAGGTTAGTCTGCTTGTAATTTCTGCCCATATCGAGGAGACGAAAGACGGTTTCGAGTTGGGATTGGAAACGTTGTTTGGAGCCCAAAGGACGTCCTGAAAGGAGGGAAAATTATGAATTATGTTTGTTGGTTAAGCCTTTGTTAGCGTCCCGTGCAAAAACAGGAAAAGTTGTGAATTTTAAGCGCTGAAACCGCTTGACTCCCATTAGGTACAGCCGCTGGGGAGTCCAGTACTGCCCGAAAAGGGGGGGGGTAGAATGTTACCAGTCTTCCAAACGGCTTATGAGATTGCCTATTGCGAAGAACTCACCGCTTCCATGATGGTGAAAGAGATACGAGGCAGTCCGGCTAACACACATCAACTTCGGACCCTCTAAACTAGGAGGACAGAAACACACTTACATAATAGTAGGCTCCGGTGATGACTGGAAAACCGAAATCCATGGAATCCTGATGGCCGATGGACACAGTTTTGGAATTCACTTGATCGAAACGAAGGTTCCTTATCTAAAAGATATCAAAAACACAAATTTAACTATAGATATGAATATATATATATATATATATATAAGTATTTTATTTAAATGGAAATCTATCACAATAATACCATACGTAAACTGTATGCATATTCATATTTCAGCAGAGGTTAGAGATGAGGTGAATGTGAATGTGAATGCACATCCAAGCCGATTGGAGGAGGTAGTTTGCCCAAAATGAGGGTCGTCCCTTAAGGTGAGGCATAATACTTTGCCAAAACGATCTGGCCAGCTCAAATAACACCTTGGGCTGGAGTCAAAGGCTGCTGATGTTAAGATTATAGTTCAGAATTGCCACAGCAACTGATCATTCTATTTGTGCCATCCGAATGAGGAGTATCTGTTTTTTACCAGAGATGGCGACGCCCTCATCCCGGCGTCTTGGAGTGGAAGGGTTCGGCGGCCGTTCTGAAAGTGCGACTGAAAGAGTTCAGCTCCAGAAGTCTTGGTCAACAGCACTGCTGCAATTTTCTTTCTTTGCCCATTTCCTCTGACTTCCAAAAACTAGTCATTGTGGCTCTTCGAACCTTAATTTTGACATCGTTACTACTTTACAGCATATAATTTCAGGCCCTGGCCGTCAAGACTACTCTTCTTCTAGTTGGCAGCCCTGTAGTGAGTGTAAAACATGCACACACACACACACACACACACACA